CAATTCTTCACTAAAACATCTCATGTCTTCTTTTATCTTGTTCCTTGCTGAGATAGGAGTACAATGGTGTTGTCATATTGGTGTGAAGTCACCGGAGTTGAGAGTAATCGTTACTAGAAGTTTTGCTGGAAAATTTCCAAAACCTCTTTTAAGCTTCGAGGTAAGCCCATAGATATAGGTCGTTTCCATGTTCATAAATGGTCATTTGGTTGAGTTTTGTGTTTGACATGCTTGAAGAACTAAGAATCATAAACCTTGAATTTGATGTTAAAATTATGAATTAATGATACCAAAATGATCTATGAACCTTGGAGAACATTTCTACATATTTTAGTTGAAGTTTGGTAACTAAAAATGGAATTTTCAGAATTGGACCCGAGAGGTAGAGGACGATGAACATTGATTGAAAACCAGAAAGGTAGATTGATCCACCCCACTGGATCGATCACACGAAGTACTTTCTCTATGGAGGATCGATCAAAAGTGCTGGATCGATCCCCCGACCTGTTTGCTCCGAAAATACTTCTGAAAATGTTATTTTTGAGCTCTAAAATCCTATTTTTGATACCAATTAATTATGAACAATATAAAGATGATTTTTCACAATAAATATGATGTTTTTGACAAATAAAATTTTATATGATGCATGACGGTAAGTTCGGGGGTTAACACTCAAAACTAAGCTACTATTTGATATTGAATATATGTTATGTTGATTGATCATTATGATGAATAATTATTATGAATGATTGTGAATGATGAACCTTCTGATTAGAACGATTATTGATGATTTAATCATGACTAAAATTGGATATATTGGTAATCACAAAGATAATGTATTGTTAAGGGTATGCAGAACCAACTCTAAGATATACACACACTACTACAAAATTGACATTAGACGGCGCATCATACACATCAGTTATAGGGAAAGTGCTGTGTAAACCCCATGAACAAAGTAAGCCACGCATTTCACCAAAAAAAGACCCAACTATCTACGTAATTTTTAAAACTTTTACCCATCGCGTTTTAAGATATTCGCTGTTTATTTTTTTATCGCGTCTCTCTACTCAATAACGCGTCTCTCTACTTAATTTAAGATATCGGATCTCCATCGAGAACCAGACGCTCGCACACCCACCCCATTCGACTCTCCGCACAGGTGCACCAGAGTTTGAGGATTCATATTCAAAATCGGGAGAAATTAGGTGTCAGGTTTGTGGTGGCTGCATCTACAATCAAGCATGGAAGCATACTGTAATCAACAAAAACTGTTAATTTAAGGTACGTGATGAATAGTCCCTATAGTTTCATCTCTCTTTTTTGGAATTCCAATTTTTAGGGTTTTGTGAAATTTTGTTATTGATTTTTTTTTGCAAAATTTGTGTATATTTGATTTATTGGATACTTTGATATTTGATATTTGATAAATAGTTTATTATATTATACCCGGAGTAATTATTTTATATAATGATAATTTATTGTTGGAATTTGTCAATTTGAGATTTAATTTTTAAGTCTAAAAATGAATAGTAATCTGGTGTTGATTGAAACTTGTCAATTTGTGGGATGTGTTCTAATTTTGCATATCAACTCTATCAGATTCTTCATGCACTTTCATTGGGAAATCGTTCCAACTTTTACATGGACTTAATAATCTAGGATGGTTTTGACTATTGTAGAATTTGAGATGCATATCTTGTTTATAATAGCAGCATTTACAGATGTAATAAGTACAATGGCTTGCTAGCAATCAAGTTGAGTTTTTCATTCTTCTTTGGTAGAATGGATTGGTCATCAGTACTTTTTTTGGAAAGTACACTTCCAATGGGCTTTTCGGATTAAACAGGTTACATTTGAAAGACATTATATAGTAAACCTTACATTTAATTGGTTGTGAATTTTATGTAGAACCAAACTTTTCTGAATTGAAAGACATTACTTTGAAAACCCAACTCTAGCCTGAAATGACAGTTAGTTCATGTATACTATAACAGCCATTATTAACAAAATTATTTCTTGTAGTCATCGGTTCAATGTTAAAGATAAAGTACCCCTTCAATCTCATTACAAGTTAATGCTTACAATGATCGAGTTTGTTGGTGTGTACGTGCTGCATTCTCTTACGAAAATTATTGATTAAAGGGTCTACTAGAAATTAAAATGAATATTGATATGAGAAAAGAAAACAAACAGAGAGTTGAGGAATTAGTTGATTACCGAAGAAGAATTATGACTCCTTAAGTTGAGTGGAATATAAATGACATGTTTTCTGCTCTTTATTTTTATTTTCACTGTCTTTCATGTGGTTGGATATCATTAAAAAGTTTGCAAATTTCTGTGTCTTGTCTTTAATTTGTAGGCAAGATCTACTTCACAGCTATGGTTTGAGCACTTTTATACATCGCACTTTATGAAAAGGTGGTTAAATTCAGAAAGTAGCTTTGTTGCACAATGGTTGATACATTTCTCTAATTGATATATTTCTAAAATCCATAAATAGTGAATCTTGCATTTGATTTTCTCCTCAGGTGTCAAAAGTCTACACAACTCGATAACTAATAAATGTGTTCTACAGCTTGTTATTGATGATAGTGACTCTAACAGGTATTTATTTCTCTTTAAAAAAGTCTACTCTTGCTTATCAAAATTTTTCCGACTTTAAAAGATGTTTTTGCTCTTATATGTGCTTTGCATCTAATGCCAGTGATTGTTGATTTTAGCTACAAGTTACTCTGTATTATTCTACTACTTTAAAAGCTCAACTAAAATAACCATTGTCACTCTTAGTACTTATGCTAAATAAATATATTAAACTTCATAAAAACTATGAGAAATCTTTATGAAGACTTAAGGGGGCTTCTAGATGATGCTCTTTCTGCTCTATTATGACCCCTGGAAATGACTCCCCCGATATTGTGACTATCCCTGTAAATGCTCCTCATGTTATTCTAAAATTTACACTACTACAAAATTGACATTTAACAGCGCACTTTATACATTGAATATACAAAACATGGAAAATATAACATTAACTGTTGAGAAAATTTTAATTACACACTCAGCTCTAAATACTTGTTGGAGTCCACTGTCACACCATGATTTATTCAAGTAAAAAAATTTAGTTTTGCTTCTTCTTTCTTTTAGATTCTTACTATTGCTAATTACCTAACAGTGATTAATTTATGTTGTAGAGTGTTATAGAATATTATACTCGTATTTACTTTATTAGTCAAAATTTGTCTTTAAAAAGAATGTAGGAGATCCTTTTCAACCACTTGTTCAGGAAGAGCTAAGCACTTGTTCATAAGCTATTTAGAACAAATGAGAAAATTTTAAGTGCTTCTATAATCGAGGTTATTGGCTCTTTTAATTTTTTATGACTTACGCTATTGTATTTTCTGTTGTTGCTCTTTTATTTTATTGTTTCTGTATTGTGATAAACTAAAGTTGGTTGTTTTCTGTCTACTAAGTTTTGGCTTTAGTTGAAATATTTTAGCGGGGGAGCTCTAAAGAACAATTTTGTATGATGGACTGGGATCTAACTACAGGTGCTTGTGGATTTATTTCTCCTTAAGAAGCTCTTTTATGAGTACTTGGTACAAAATGGCTTGACTTGGGTTTGTGTTTCTCATCAAATCAGATGTTGTTCACTACTCCGGCATTCGAAGAAAGAACACACATCTATTGTACTCTTAATATGCAGTAATGTTAAATGGCTAGAATGTTTATTATTAGTTTACAAAAACTTGAAGTTAATCCTGTTCCTCTTGCTTCGTTGGATCCCTATATTTTGAGCAGGTTAATGCTGTGAAGACTTGGTTTCATTTATGAAACTAAGACTGTCAATTCTTGTATAAAGGAGGGTTAATGTTATGCACGCAAGTTTGAGGTTGTATACAGCTCCCATAGGTCTTTGCAAAAGATGTTCATCAGTAGGTCTGGGTATCTTAAGATATGGCCAGGGGTCTACACCTACGAATGCTGCAAATTGAAGTTGACACTTTGGTTAAGTATTCTTAGTTTAATTTTTTGTACTGTGTAATATTTAAGGTGTTGGTTGGGCTTAGAACTCTAGATTATCTACATAATGTATTTCGATCGTTGTCTTTCCGAAGGGCTTTGGTTTGGTCCTCCCTTCTTGTATTTTTCTTTCTTTGTCTTATTTTAATAAAACTTATTTTTTGTGTATGTGTGTGCCTATAAATAAATAAACCTATATATATATATATATATATATATCTATATATATATATAGGGATTGACTCCAGTGAGATGACACATTACGGTAAGATGACATGCTTCGGTGAGATGACGCAAAGCTCACCACATTACACTGCAAAGCTCACCCAAGGCCAATGTAAAGCTCACATGGGAATAAAGCAAAGCTCACCACTAAATATCAAAACTCACCTTTTTTTAATTTTGAAAATTAAAAAATTAATAAAAAATAAAATTGCATGACCGGTCAACGACCGGTCAGCGGCAGCGAGACGGCGGAGACCGGCGGTGGTCGGCGGCAGTGGCGGCGGAGGTCGGCGGCCGGCGGTGGCTGCCGGAGTCCGGCGACGGCGGCAGCGGAGGTCGGCGGCGGCGGCGGAGGTCGGCGGCTGGCGGCCGGCGGCGGCGGAGGTCGCCGGTGGTGGTCGGCGGTGGTCGCCGGAGGTCGCCGGCGGCCGGAGGTCGGCAGTGGCAGGCGGAGGTCAGCGGCGGTGATGGTCAACGGTCAATGGTCAAAGTCCAGTCAGCATCACTTCCTTTGATTTTTTTTTTCAAAAAAAAAAATTCAAAGTGTTGAAAAAATATGGTGAGCTTTGTTTTACAGTTTGGTGAGCTTTGTAGTTGTCCTTGGTGAGCTTTGCAGTGTGCAGTGGTGAGCTTTTTATCATCTGACCGTAACATGTCATCTCACCGTAAGGTGTCATCTGACTGGAGTCAATCCCATATATATATATATATATATATATATATATGTATATATATATATGTATATATATATATATTAAACGAAATTTTTATTCAAATAAGAAAAAAGAAAAGAAAAGGTACAAATGAGGGGAGGACTAGGCCAATGCCCCTCTTAGAAATGCATGGAAAAAAAACTGAATGAAAAGTGAATCGAAAGAACTACAGATGGTCATTCCCAAATTATAAAACCCGGGTGTTGATCCAATGCAAGGTTTCTGGGCATTATTTTCTTTAGCCTTTTCCCATCTGCCCCAATTGGGCCGACAGGTCCAACATACCAAAAGGGCCCAGAATAACTTTTGGTAGTGACGATTTTCTCCATTGTGGTTGATTTGCGGCTGGGCCAATATCTAGTGATCTCGCTTACTGTTCCAACTTCAAGATTTGGATCGTAGCTTCTAGTTTTAATCGTCCTTGGTGCAGTTCCCCTCTTCCCCGCTTTTTTGTTGCGTTTGTTCTGGACATCTTGGAAGTTGTTAGGTTCCTCCCTTAGGTTGCTTGTCTCCGCTTCTTCATAGGACCTGATTTCATAGTGCTGTCCATCCACCTCAAAAGAGTGAAGAATAGGGCCAGTAGTAGTTTGGTCATTACCTGCAATGTTAGTTACTGGTGGGAAAAAATTTTTTCTAAGAGAAGGATCAGAAATAGTTTCATCATCTCCAATGATAGTAGGGGATAGTGTTCCATCCATCTCTTTCTCGAAGGAAAGAGTGTGTGCATCACTGTTAAATTTTTGGGATGGAAAATCATCCGTGGTTGCAGTTAAGGACTCTTTGGAGAGGGGAGGGAATTCCTCTTCGTACTGTGTGCCTTCCAAATCTATCTTGGGAGACAGTTTGTGTGCCTCACAGCTTTGTTCAATCTCGGAATTAGGATCGGTGTTAGTTGGAGTTTGGTTGTTCTCCAAAGCATCCTCACCAACACAGATTTGTTCAATCTCTACCATCATCACTGTTTTGTCTTCAGCACTGTCAGCTGGCTTAGGAACCTTAGCATTCCTACCATTAACAATGGTGGTTGCCAAAGCTTCAACTCTTTCCAAATTTGTATCCGAGTCAATAGCAGATTGTGCCTCATGTTCAAAAACAAAGGTTTCAGCTCCAGGTTCTAGTATCTGTTCCAGTTCCTTAGCCTCACGTTTTGGATCAGATTGAAACAGATTTGTTTCAGCCTGGGCAGAAGTATTTGTTTCTACAGCAGTGGAAGCATTTTCATCTGGACCATCCTGATTCTGACCATCAAGTTGTTTTGCCACAAGTCTCAAAGTGGTGTCCACCGTTTGCAACGGAGGGACAGCTACAGCAGGAGCTGTATTCCCAGTCCCTGGCGTGTCCTTCAACACCCATCTAGAGGATTTTGTGGCCTTTTTGCAGTTTTTATGTCCAAAAGATTTACAAGAGGGACAATATTCAGGAAGATCTTCATAATTGATAGGTTGATGAAATATAAGTTGACCAAGATGTATCCAGACACCATGGGGCAGTTCCTTACTAGTATCAACCTCAACACAAATACGTGCAACAGATGGCCTTGACAGGCTTGCTGTTGCAGCATCTGTTTTCAGTGGTTTACCAA